CAGAAAATTGTTTAGAAAATGGAATTAAGTTGAAACAATGAAGTTCATAAAAGGTTTTTCGATTAATTCATGAACATCTTTTGTGATTATATTTTGATGCGTTGCAATCCTTTTTTCATCCAAAGACGGAAACTAACTAAACCGTTAACACTGCTTTCACGCATATTTTCTATACAAGTTCTAAACCATTGCAAACTAGGTTTAAGTTTGGTTTGCTTTTTGCAGAAGTTGTGTTGAATGTTAGATTTGTAATTTTTATCTTGTGTTTTGCATCAATAAAATGCTGGATAATTTGGGTGCTAGATCATTTTGAAAACAGCTTGTTCATGTGAAACTCCAATAAAAATCTAAAATTTGAATATTGTGGAATTCTATTCCTGTTACGTGGCCCAGACCACCGGCCATATGGGCCCCAAGTTCAATTTATGGAAGCAATTGGAGGGAATTTTCTATTTAAGCTTTATTCTTTTTTATTCATTTCTTATTATGTTGTATGCTTTCCTTTTTTTGTTTACTTTGTATTTGGCAAGTTGTAATAGTGTTAATTATATTTACTCTAGTCGTTTCACACATAATAAGAGGAAATGTTGTAGTTTGATTATGAGGGAGTAAGAGAATATTCTCTCCACCTTTCTTTGTATAAGAGCCTTGCATGGCTGATCTCTTCCGCTTCTTAGTTCGGCATTGTTTTCCGCACCCCTCGTCTTCTTCTTCAGAATCTACTTCATTTGCGTTGTTTGGCTCTCATCATCTTTGATGTTCAACTTTGTATGAGTCGTGCGGCTTTGTCTGACTACACCACTCCTTTGCTTTATCTAAATTGACATCATCTACGTCGTTTGGTTCGCGTCATCTGTGACGTTGGTCTCTATCTGAATTTTGCGGCTTCTGTTTGAACAAGGAAACAAACTCTTGCTTTTATTTAGCCACCAGAGTCCCTCTAACAGCCATTTAACTACCAGAATCCTCTCTGTAGCAGTTAAAATCTCTTCAGCCGGCTTGCTGGCTCTCTCCTTTGCTTCTTGCTGGCACCACCTCCTTTCAAGCAACGACCTTATTTACTTGTGCATCAAACAATAGCCTTATTCCTAAATGTGCATAAGGTTTATGACAAAGTATGAACTAAAAACGTCTAGCCCTACTCCGAAGGTTAATTTTGAATGATAGACCAGGAGTTTTGTCCAAACAACCTCTGAACTCTCTCAACCTTTATCGCAAATCATAAACTCAATGACCATAACTTTTTTAATGGTTCCAATCTGTGTTTATGTACATTTGTGGAAAATGAAAAGAACATCTCACGGGAGATGAAACAGTTCATGAGTTCACTGATTCTAAACCTCGCTAACGGAAGATCTAGTATCATATGTTCATGTCTTAGTTGATCAATATATGAACATAAAAGTTGGAGAAAATTTCTTGCTTTATAGGACATTGCAGGAGATTTGAGAAGCAGCTCATGAGACTTATTCTAATACCGAAAACACTGCAAGATTGTTTGAGATTGAGATAAAACTGCATGAGCTTCGACAAGAATAGTTGAGTATTACTCAATACTTCAACACTATCAAGGTACAAGTTATGATTAGATATGTATGAAAGTGCCTGCAAGATACTACAATGTATAAAATAATAGTGGAGTATAATATGATAATTAAGTTCTTATTGGGTATAAATACAAACTTAGATCTGGTCAGAGTGAGTCATGGGGATGAAGACTCTTTCTACCACTAGGGAGGCCTTTGCTGAAGTTAGGAGAGAAGAAAGCAGGAAGATGTTCATGATGACAGAAAGTATGGGCTCATCTAGCACCAAAAGCTCAACTTTGTACACTTAACTCCTCCCATGATTCAAAACCAAAGCAGAATTGTCTCTTGTGTGAATATTTTAAGAAACTTGGTCACACAAATGACAAGTGCTCAAAATTACTTGGAAAACTCGTAGATTAGAAATCGGACAAGGTAGGAAGGACCAAGACAGCAAGACCAATGCTGCTACCTCTTCTGAAGGGTTGGCCTACCTTAGTCCCTTCACTAAGGAACAACTGGAGTAGCACGATTGAGCAGCTTACCAATTTGACGATACACCAAGTTATGATATCCTTTATGTTGCTAATTGATTTCAATACTGGATAATAGATTCAGATGCTTTCGATCATATGATTGGAGACATTCATGTTCTTACCAACTACCAAGAAATCACCACCTCCATATTTTTTAGACTCTCTAACGGGTCTTACTTCAGGATTGTTGGGAAATGAGAAGTGAAAGTCTCCAAAGATATTTAGTTTTCTTTTGTGTTATATGTTCCCCAAATAGATTGCAACTTACTTTTAATTTGCAAGCTTACTCATGACTTGAAATATGTTACTAAATTTTATTCTAACCCTTGTGAATTTTAGGTGTTGGATTTCGGGGAATGTGATTGACAAGTGCTGAATTGTATCGAAGTCTATACCTGCTCAATGAGAGCTATTCTTTTAATACACGAGTGTCTTCTCCACCATCAGTCTGTATATGTTGAAAGTCAAGTTTTATTATGATATTATCGTCCGGGTCATCTCAATTTTTATTATGTTGTAAAGTTGTAATCCCATTTGTTTATTAATAAAAAGTCAAAGTTTTATCAGTATGAAACCAGCTAATTGGTTAAGCATACTCAACATGTATATTCTCTGTCTCAGTACAAATTTTTGCATCCTTTTTTTATCATCCAAAATGACATTTAGAGACAATCAAAAGTGAAAACCATCAATGAAGCCAGATGTTGTCTTCTTCATTGATGGTCACACTAGAACTAGTTGGATATTCCTCATGAAGGAAAAATTTGGAACTACACAAATCTTTAAATCCTTTTTTTGACATAATTTACACTTAGATCCAATGCAGAATTCAAACCTTCAAAATTGATAATGCAAATGAATACTTTGACTACATCCTTGGATCTTATCTTGCAAAGAATAGTATCATCCATGTTAGTTTTTGCGTTGAGACACCACAATAAAGCATGATAGATAGATGAGTGGAATAATATATATCTCATCCAGTTATCTAGGTCTATAATACTTTTTCACAATGTTCAAGAAATTTTCTGGTGAGATGTAGTGCTTACAACCACCTACCTTATTAATAGAATGTTAAGCATGATAATTGGTTATAAAACCTTTCTCCATGTTTTGATAGAAACATACCCTCGTGTTAGAGCCTTCTTATCTATTCTCTATCTAAAAATATTTAGCAGTCTCTTTTGTTCACATTTACCAACTAAACCGCATAAAGCTTGATCCAAAATTCATAAAATGTGTCTTTCTTGGATATGCTTCTAACAAAAAGGACTATAAGATTTATTCTCCCATTACTAAAAATACTATAACTCTATGAATGTTACATTCTTTGAAAAATAATCCTACTACCCCAAATCTAAAATTCAGGGGGAGAGTCTGGGTGAATATCAGATTTGGGACATTGCTCTGGATGCCCACATTGAATTAGAGTCACCACAACCTATCCTACTTCCCTCTAATCATCCTGTCTCCTAAGTTCCATCACTTGAGAATATCTAATATGAGATTGATAACAAGAAAATGCACAAGGAACTTTATGCTTACACTACGAGAAATAAATTCACTGAGCAGGATAAAAACCACATGATTGTTCACAACCAAACCATAATCCCTCTGAAGTTCCTAGCGAGGAGAAATCCAGTAAAAAAGATGAAAAGTTGCACAAATTATCCTATTCAAGAATATATTGCCTATGCGAAGTTCTCATTATCTTACAAAGTTTTTGTATGTAATCTTCATATTGTGCAATTGAAGAGAAGATTCTAGCATTTGATCTAAATGACACATGGACCTTTACAAAGCTTCTTCTAGATAAGAAACTCGTTGGGTGCAAATGAGTGTTCAAGATTAAGTACAAAGCAGTTGAGAACATTGAGAGTTTCAATGTTAGGTTGATGGCCAAAAGTTTCTCTCAATCTTATGGGGTAGACTATCAAGAGATCTTTGCACCCGTGGCAAAGTTAAACAATGTAAGAGTTCTTTCCTTGGCAGTGAACAAAGTGTGGGAGCTGCATGAACTCGATATCAAGAATGCATTTTTTTAATGAAGACCTTGAGGAGAAAGTGTGAGATCTCACTAGGGTTGAAAAATGACTCAAAGAAATCTCTGGTTTGTAAACTATGAAAGTCACTTTATGGCTTTAAAAAATCTCCATAGGTTTGACCTGAAAAGTTTGTTATGACTATCAATGAGTATACCAAATGCATTGAGATTGTTCGACATTTTCTCTCTTAAAAGGTCAATAATAATCATATTCACTTAGGTTCTGTTTGGGGTAGCTGCAGTTTATTAAAAAACAGTTGTGAAATTATTGAAAAATAATATGTTGTTCAAAAAGTTGTGGTGACAATCAATTTTTTTTTTTGAAAAAGATAGACCACAACTAGAAAGCTGCTACCGCACCTAGCCAGGACCTGTGGGAAAATACAGATTTCAACGACAGTTTTTAGAAAAAGCTGTCAAAATGTAGTTTACGCAAACAAACAAAACTGCGGTGCGGTGCCACACTACGTCCCAAACAGACCCTTAATCTACAATCCAACTCATCTTTAAATCGCTGATGTCTTCACTAAATCCATGACACAACTTGAGTAGTGTGAAATTCTATCGCAGTTTGGTGGCCCAAACTGCCAACCATACGTTCCTCACATGTTCAAATTGTGAAAGTTATTGGATGGGTTTTCCTATTTAGCTTTATTCTTTTTTATTCCTTTTTTTATTGTGTTGTATGTTTTTCTATTATTGTTTGTTTTGTATTTCGTAAATTGTAATAGTCTTAATTATGTTTTCCCTAACTATTCCTATAAAATATGGGAAAACTTTATAGTTTGAATGTGAGGGAATAAGTGATTATTGTCTCTCCACTTTCAAATACTCTCATTCTTCTCTTTTCCTACTCCATCACAACTCTCGAGGCCTTTTCTCTGAAAAGTGCAGGTGTTTCAAATTCAAGGTTTATGAACCCTTCAAATGCACATAATTCTGGAGTTCTTGATGAAGAAGTTATAGATGCTAAATTAATGGCAAGGTTGGATGAGCTTGAGAAAGAAGAGGAAGAAGCTGCGAGTGATTTAGATGATGATGAGGATGATAAAAAAGCTAGTTCTTCAAATGCTGATGAGGTTGATGATGATAAAAATGGAAGTTATCTGAGGGTTGACAAAGATGGGGATGATGAAGACGACAAAGATGTTGATGAGGCAAGTTATTCGAAGGCTGTTGAAGATGAAGTTGATGAGGAAGAGAATGATGAAGATAAGCATTACAATGCTGAAAATACTTCTCAAACTAATGATGAGGTGAGTGTTTAAACTGGTTTAAGATTTGCTGAGGTTGTTGTTAGTATAAAGATTTAATCAAATTTGTTTATCCAATTATTTGATGAAAATGAAAATATGAATTTTTTATTGTATATTTAGGCTTCATTATATTGTATATGGCTTCATTATTTATTGTTGAAATGTTCGAACTCCTTACAGGTTCCAACACCGAAGGTAATAGGTCCAAGAAAATCTGTCCCAACTTCTATGCAACACAATGCATTAGGCTTGCTACAACACCCTTCTTATCAATCTTCTGTAAGAAACAGTTAATGTTGTATGCTCTTTTAATGGCTTGGAGCTTTAGTTGTCATTGCAGTCATTTCTTCCTTTCTATACAAGGTTTCAAGCAAACTGAGAAAAGTGTCAAAATAATCCCTTTATTATTTGTAGGGGTCCATTTTAGTCCCGTAGTCTAAAGAAGTTTTAATTTACTCACCTTACTCTTTTAATTTAAATAGCTTCTCTGGGGACTAAGTCAACCCATATTAAAGTAGTCTAAGGGCTAATTTGGCACCTTTATGGATTATGGGACTAAAATGGCCCCATATAAATAGTCAAGAGACTATTTTGACACTTTACTCGAGCATAATTATATTTTCTCAGCATTTATTTGCTTATTTTGGTATTTGTTCAACATACAGGCATCAAGTTCAAAAATGCAAGTTGCAGCTGAAGGTTAGGTCGAGGCTTTTCATTATGTAGTTGTGAATTTTTTTTTGATTATTTATTAGTTTTAGATAGTTCTCATAGTTTTTCATATCACATACAGTAACTAAGATGAAATTCTTTAATTCGTGTCAAAAGAGGCTTCACTCTTCATATAAAACATGTAGTGGGGCTAATGAATTGCTTATCAATTTTGAGAGTACTACCGATGACATTTTAATCATGCACAACAACATAATTGGAGCGTACATGCATACCACTCAACATAGTTTTTGTAGTTTTAAAAATATTGCCCACATATGAGCATATGGAAACGATCCATTCAATTACAGGTTTTAGATATGATAGGAAAATGTTGGTAGCTTTGGATTCTTCTTTAGATTGGATTTACCTATATATTTCCTAGTTTGTAATATTTAAAATGAATTTTAGTACTGTTTTCAGGTTATTTTCCATTAGATAAGTCTTTTTATGTCTGCATTTCTTTGATTTGTACCTGCTAATTTATAATTTTGTACGCATGGCCTAAGTGATATCTAGGTGTCATTAATTCAAGTATCTATGATACAAAAGGATGAGGATATGTGTAATCTATAACTTCAAAACTTAAGGCTCAATAGTTAAACTGAGAAGTACTTTAAGAGTGTTGGAGAAGTGCCTTAGGTGTATTATGCAATAAGAAGATTTAAAGATGAGCTTAAGGTAAATTTTATAAATTTATAATTTGACCATTTATGTTATTTGGATTTGGGCAATGAAAATAATCTGATATCCTAATTGAGCATGATAAAAATGAGAATGTTGATATATGTGTGATAATTAAAAATAATAAATTAATGGATGTTAGATGATAGTGGAACGTTTAGGGTAATGTATTTGAAAATAAGATAACTGAATCTAGAACTTTGGACATGTACAATGAATGATGACAGTATAAACCTAACGTTAGAGTATTTGGAAAGACAATTATTACACGCAAGATGGATGTATATATTTTCGAAACCATTTGAGACTTGACTTTTTATATCAAGCATGTATCAGGGCTAATAAATGTCATACCGATGGCATTTTAATCATGCAGAACAACATAATCGGAGCATTTACATACTTACCACTCAATTCTTGTGTATTTGCATATCTAATGCCTAAATTTTGTTTTTTACATTTATTGGATCCAAATCTTTCTTATTACATTAAAATATTACTATTTTAACTTTTAAAAAATGAAATACATCTTTTCATGCATATAGATAACGTGGCATATGTGTAAAAAGTGAAGTTCATGTGTTATACATGTAAATACATTGGAATTGAGTGGTATGGATGCAAAATTTCTTTTATATAATGATTATGTATGTTTGCATTATCAAGATTTAACTTAACAATAACAAAGGCTATATACACGTAAAAATCGAACATGCTACCAAATGGTTCATTTTATAAATTTTAAAGTTATGACTAGACACACATCAATTATCATATCAATATAAACGAGAGAATAACAAAAAATTAATAAGGCTCAATCAACAATTTATTAAACACAAGATAATAATGTCAATGGCAATGTCCCTAATAAATAAGTATATGTCTTTAAATAAGAGGAAGATTTACATATCTAAAACTTCAGTTTTTACATAACATGCCACCTTGTTAATACATGAAAAAGTGAATTTCACTTTTTTTTTTGAAGTTAAATTAGTGGTATTTTTTATGCGTTAGGAAAGATTTGGGTGGTATATATGTAAAAAGTTAAGTCTAGATGTTAGATATGTAAATGCATAGGTATTGGATGGTATGTGCGTAAATGCCCCTAAATAAAAATCATCAACCTCGAGGCATAGTTCTCAATGGCAGCAGCATCAGATGAGGACTTAACTTGAAAATCCAATATGTAGAAATAAGGGAATCAAATTCCAAGGGGATCAAATTCTAATCATAAATTCATTCCCAAATTAATGATTTTAACACCAAATAAAAAGCTTTAAAGGCTAATTTCAGCAGCCTCAGATATCTGGAAACAGTTGCTTAATTGATTCAATACCAGGGATTTTTTGTTTTTTTTCAGCAACCTGGCTCTCTTTGTTTGATGTTTACCATCCCAGCAACTATTTTGATGTGATGTTGTCGATAATGCAAATTTTATTCCCAAACTAAAAATTTATGGATCAACCAGTTTTGCTTTAGTTGTTTAGTCAAGTTTTGCTGTTTAATGGCCTCCCAATGTGATGACTTACATCTTCAGGCTTTTTCTATCATTTGTTTGAAATTTTTATGTGGGGAAAGAGCTGAGATCATACAAATTAATTTTTGGATCTTTACTCATTCATTTAATTTTCTATCATGTAATTTTAATCTTACTATAGAAGCTGCCTTGTGGTAAACTATCAATGTATGAAATTGTTAGACATGCATCTTTCATCGATCATAACACCCTGCTTTCATTTTTTTACTTATTATTATTACTATTACTGGGTGGGGAGTTTTCACATATACATACCACAAATTCTTATGTATTTACATATCTACCACTTAAATTTTACATTTTGCATTTATACCTGCCAAATCTTTTAAAAATTGAAATACATCTTTCCATACGTAGGCAAGGGTGTTTGTATGTAAAAATTGAAGTTTAAGTGTTAGTTACGTAAATACATAGGAATTGAGTGGTCTGTATGTAAAGTCGTCGATAATGCAAATTTTATTCCCAAACAAAAAATTTATGGATCAACTAGTTTTGCTTTATTTGCTTAGTCAGGTTTTCCAACTATTTTAGGCCGGATAATCATAACCATACGCAAAAGTTACAATTTTTTTAATTTTCAAGGTTCATTGAAAAGTATTGTCGAGTGGCCTCACGTGACACATCATCCTTTGCTGCCTCCAGAAACTATAGAAGACTTTCAGAAGCCCTCTCCTTACATTCAGGTAATTGATCTCATTCATTTTTCTTCTCTATTAAGGCTTCATTTTGTGTTGTTGAATTAAAACATGCCTCTATTTTCACTCACTTTTTGTGAGCAAATAAAATAATCACATTTGAAACTTTTTGAAGTATTGTATACTTTAATACTAATATTGATTGACATGATGATCTAATAAATTTAGGGATATTTACATACATACCGCCTAATTTTTTTGTATTTACATATATGATACATAAATTTTGCTTTTTTACATTTACCATTTCAACTTGTAAAAAGTGAAATACACGACATCATTTATAAATAAGGTTAGCATATATGTAAAAATTGAAGTTTAGGTATCAAATTATGTCAATACATAGGAATTGAGTACTATGCATGTAAATTTTCCATAAATTTATTATTTCAAAACATAATTTCAAACTTAAAAGCAACCAATTGAGCCAATCATTTGTAAAGGTTTTGCTACTTAATGACCTCCCAATGTGATGTCCTACATCTTCATCAAGAAATTTGTTTTCATTTGCAACTAACAGAGGCTAATAGAGGGAATTTTTTGGCATAATTCTTCTGAAAACATTCTCAGCCGAGGCTCTAAAACAGGTTCCTATGAAGGCAAGGTGAGACATTACTTTCCACATTGGTGTCTGACTTCAGAATCATTCTTTAACTAAACATGTTTTAATTTTGACATGCAGGCTTTTACAGGCACAGTTATTGAACACAACAATGTTTTTTCGCCAACCAAACCATCCAACAGTTCTGCTTCTAGTCAGGTAGATGTTTTATGTCAATTTTACTTGCTGGATTACGACTCTTGCTGTCTATATTTTGTTTTTGGGAAATCTACGTACATGCCACACAATGCCTATGCATTTATTTACATATCAAACACCTAAAGTTTGATATTTATGTTTATATCACTCTAGTATTAAAAAAAACTATTTACAAATGAAGCATCCATCTGCTTTTTTTTTTTAATAACTGAACTGATGCATTTACACGTGCCAAGATCAAACTATTGAGAATTTGATAAAAATAGAAAATATTGGTTGGGGTTTTAACATGAATTTTGATATTTGAGTGAGAATTTGAAAAATGGACGAAAGCGGGTGGTTGATTCTTAAATAGCAAGTTTCGGGTGGTCTTTATGTAATTGCACCCCAAAAAATCGTTTGCATGAAATGGCGCATTCTTTTAAAAATTTTGTGATAGTGGTATTTTTAATGTGATGTCTAAGATTTAAGTGTTATGTCTGTAAATATATAAGAATTGTGTGGTAGGTATGTAAATGCCCCTTTTTTATATTTAATTTTGAGAAAATCTTGGTGCCACTTGCAGCCGTCGCGGCCAATCTCTAGGTTCAAGATGCAAAAAAGTGACCGTTGAGATTAATGGAAGATTTGTATGAAATGCCTGTAGTTCTTCTTAAAATTAACTCTAGAATTATGAAAAAAAAGTAGGATTTTTTTTTTGAAATGTTCATTGTTATTATAACGAGCATGCTTTAATTGATCTGTGTAAAGATTTCTTTTTTTATTATATAATTTTTTATAAAATATCAAGGATGTTATATCCGAATTACCAATGACTAAAATTGCGTTGTGGCCTTTAAGTTAAGATTATGTGATCGGATACTTGACAGGTATTCTTATTATTTTTTTCTAATTTGGGGCATCATATGTAAGAAGTTATTTTTTCAACTATAATTATTATTATCTTTGCTACAAATAAATAATTTTCTTTTGTTAAAATTTTTATTATATAATAAAAAAAAGCCTTCACAAATGGATATTATTCCCTTAATTTTTACAGTAAACTTTTTTTTTTTAACGCAGCTCTAGTTTATTAACCATGTAGCTATTTAAAGCTCTGTTATGAATTTTTCAGAATTTAATTACTCTTAGGGCAAATTAACATATGCATAATTTCACCTCCTTTTTAGGTGCTTAATTAATAGGTACCAGAAACCATAACCAAATTGAAAAAATATTTGGGAAACTAGCAATATACCACGCAAATCTTACGTATTTACATATCTAACAACCAATGTTTGATATTTTCAATTATAATGTCTTGGTGTATAAACCTATATGAAATGATGTTTTTCACTTCAAAGAAGGTGGTGATTGTAATATCTTTGATGTGATGTATAAATATGCATGTAAATATGAATGTTTAGATTTTAGAAATGTAATGCATAATAATTGTGCTGAATGTATGTAAACATGTATGTAAATGTCCCATAATTTTAGCGAGCCTAAACATTGGGCCGATATTAGTCATAATTTTGATAGAATTCTCTTGGCTATTTGATTTGATATTAGTCATATTTTTTATAGATTTCTCTTGGTTTTTTTATTATCGTTTCATGCTTTATTAAAGTTTTGCTTTCTGATCGAGCACCAAGCATTGCATAGTAGGTGATACGAGCGTAAAGGAGCCATGGGAGATTGCATGCTTTATTAAAGTTTTGTTTTCTGATTAAGCACCAAGCATTGGGATAGTAGGTGATACGAGCGTAAAGGAGTCGTGGGAGAGGTTTTCGTGATTCTTTCATCTGGATCGAAATAGTTCAGACTCGGAGAGCAGATCGGCTCTTCAACAAGGGATTGACGCTTCCTTTCCTTAGAGGGATCCAATCATATTTATCTTGGGTTTCATACATGTGATTTTTGTGTTTTAGGTCTTTAGTTTTTGGATTGTGATCTATTGGAATAGTTGCCGACATCCAGGTTTTCTCCTTCTAGGGTTGTATCCAAAGGCGAGAATTGTTCTCTGACTGTAGCTTGTCTGAGGTGGTGTCTCCTTCCAAGGGATCGAATGGTGTTCCAGCAATAGCTCGTTCTCCCAGGGGAATTTATCTCTAACTCTTCCATCCTCTGCATTCTTCCCCTCGCTGCCACCACTCTTTCCATTGCCAGAACCATCAGATAACAACCATGTTGTCATCCTGCAACTCCAACCGCCGACCACCACCTCCTCCACCTGTTATCATCCCTTCCAACCGCATCTCACCTTGCTATCATTCATTTCAACAACCCCTCTTCGATATCCAACCATCTTCTTCATAATCTGTCTGAGGACCATTTGCTGTCCAGCAATCCCACATATCTCCTGTTCGCCGCCACTGCCCCAAAAAACCTCTCCTTGCTATTTTCTATTGTTTCAAACCTCCATCTAGCCTTTGCTTATTGTCATTCAGTCAACCAACATCCACCTTTCCCATTGCAGTCCCCCGCAATCTCCTTTTTCTCCTCCTACAACTATCTATTGCTATCGTCCACTCACTAAATTGATCACCACCTTTGGATACATATAACTGTGTTTGCTTGGTTGTTATTTTATTTTCTTATCAAATGTATGTGGTTGTAATCCCCACTACCAATTGGGAAGTTAGCAAAGATGTAGAAGCTGGAGAATAATGTGAGGAACACCGACTTCCATTGGCAAGAGATAAGAAATGGATTTATCATAATATATTCTACATATGTCACACTCTTAAGGGAAAGGTATGTAGTCTCGTAAAAAATGAAGGGAGTAGTAGGAATGTGACCTCTACAAAAATGGTGGATAAGTTGAGGCTCACTACTCAGAGACACTCCCAACCATACTCCATGACGTGGTTGAGAAAGAAGAACAATAACAATGTTGGCATGTGTCTCATGAAAATTTCAATTAAAAACCAGCTGCAAGATCAGGTTTGGTGTGACATGGCGCCCATGGATGTTGGTCTCCTTTTATTAGGGTAATAGTGGCAATTTGATCGTCAGACTCAACATGATGGATTTAAAAATACCTACTCCACTAATGGTGTCAACCACATAATCTTTCTACCTTATGCGGAGTCCAAGATTATAGGCGCCCTTGCAAGAAGAAATGTGCCAGAATGATCTATTTTGTTGATGATAAAGCAAAGCAAGTTAGAGGTGCCGTTTCTGAATACAGGCCCCTCAGTACAGAGAGCATGTCATATAAGATCGAGCCAATCTAGGAATACTTTTGGAATACTCTATAGAGTATACTTGGGATGAAGTCCTACTCCAGTTCAATAGTTTGCCCTCATATGAATGAATCAATATGGATGCTTGCTCGCAAGTTAGGAATACTTCTTAGGTGATTTAGGAGACTATGCAGTTAATATTGGTATCCAAGTGCTTCTCGAGCCACAATCAAAGATCTTTCAACCCCGAGAAGTTACAGGACCTCCGCTAATTTCATTGCGCAAACAAAAGCTAATTTTGAGGTTAAAGCTTCCCCGACACTGGGAGACTGTCATGAGGGTGTCGGCACTATTTTTAGTGTGGGGTTTGCCCGTAAGAAGCTGTCGGTCATCGGAATTGAAATCCCGTTGCCCGCTTCGGAAGGACGTTTTTAAAAAAAATTAGTTTTGAAAAAGATGAAGTCAAACTGACCCCATAATTTTCATAGTTTAAATGAAAGAGCGCTTTACCTCAAATCCTGTATCTATCCCGA